CTAAAAAACACAATGCATTTATGATGTCTGCCATGTAAATGGTGACCCTGAGGTTATGCAGTGCTGCAGCCCTGATCTGGTGAGGCTCTGAGCAGAGAATTCCTTATAGGAGAACCAGAGGGCAAGGGAGGGCAAGGAAGCAGCTGCCCTCCTGCCTTCCAAGACCATGGGGAAAAAGAGCCACGTTGGTCCCAAGGTCGCCTCTGCCCATAAACACTTTTGAATCCTGGTTAGTCTCTTACACAAGAAAAAGCACTATGTTGGGAGACCTGAGTTCAAGTCCTGGATCTGCCTCTGACTCGCCATGTGACCTTAGAGAGGTCTAGTTCTGTTTTGTTTTGTTTTTTTCCTCCCTGGCTCCTTGAGGGTCAGCTGCCATCACAAACAACACAGTACTCTCTGGATCAGGAAGTTCATGACCAATAGACTACCTCAACGGAAATAAATGATCATCAGTGTCCTTTATCCTGGAAAGGCAACAGCACCTAACATAGAAGTTCAGGAAAAACTAGCCAAAATGTACAAAACCACACCAGATGTCATCTTTGTATTTGGATTCAGAACCCATTTTGGTGGTGGCAAGACAACTGAATTTGGCATAATTTATGATTCCTTGGATTATGCAAAGAAAAATGAACTCAAACATTGCAAGACATGGCCTATATGGGAATAAAAAGACCTCAAGAAAACAGCAAAAGGTACACAAGAACAGAATGAAAAAAGTTAGGGAAACTACAAAGGTCAATGTTGGTGCTGGCAAAGAGAAGGAGCAAAGATTCACCAGTGAATTTATCTCTGGTGATTTGAGTACATTTTTCATGAGAAGATTAATAAACTAAGAACTTTTATGTGAAAAAAGAAAGAAGGAAAATCTAGTCCTCCATGCCATGTCCTAAAGCAGGAGTTGGCAAACATTTTCTATAAAGGTCCAGATAGTAAATATTTTAGGCTTTGCAGGCCACGTGGTCTTCATTACAACTGCTCAGCTGCTTTGTAATTTATAAAGGAATGTGCATAGAAACCACGGATAATTTATAAAGGCATGTGCATAGCTGTGTTACAATAAAACATTATTTATGAAAATAGGTAGTGGGCCTGATTTATCCCACAGGCTGTCATATGACAATCCCTGTTCTGTATAGAAAAGGGATGACAATACCATCTCTGGTTGTCTCATAACATCTGAACATTGTGATGATCAGATTAGTTTTCTTTGAAATCTAGCAAATGACATACAAATGTCAGTTATTATTTTCTGTAAGTACTATTTATCATCAGTCACAGCACTATGTACTTTAACAGCAAAATTTAAACCACAAAGACTCTCTGAGAAAATGGAAACTTAGAGAGTGTATCATTAGGATACAGAAAACTAGCTTTAAAAATACAGGATTTTATTGACCCACGTGACTGTAAAGTCCAGAAGTAGGCGAGATTTCAACACTCGTTTGATCAAGGACAATTTTTTTTTTCATCTCTCATTCCTGCCTTCCATGGCATCAGCCTCGTCTTTTGGCTGATGGCTGCTGTCCTTCAGCCCATGGAAGGAGAGAGGAAGAAAGAGAAAGAGAGGTCCTCTTTTCAGCATTTATAGCAAAAGTCTTGAATTCGATTCTGATTGAACTGGCTTAAGTCACATGCCCACTTCTGAACCAAATATTCTGATAAGAAAGAAATGTGCTAATTGGCTTAAGGAAATCAAGACATACCCTTGGGAGTAAGGCCTGCTTGCCACATGGCACGCCAAGGCCTGGGGAAGAGTAGATACGTGGGTCAAAACCAGGATGATGTTAGGGAAGAAAAGCGATGAAGCTGCGGAGCGTGAACCCCCTGATCTATACTACCTCCCTTTCCCTAACAAATAGCACGGAACTCTCTGTTCCACTGTCAGCTGCTACAAACTTTTCAAACTAAAATTTTCTATTTAAAAAAAGACCAATTTTAGTTTATTTTCCAAAGTCCTAATGTATTTATAGAATATATGTTTCTCTCTTTATACAATCAATATGTTTCCCAAAGTTACTTATAAATTAGAATATTTACAATTAGTAAATTCAAATACTAAAATAAATATCTTGAAAGGCTCAATATTTTTTAACAATGACAACATTTTCAGTAGAGCAAAGAATCTTATAGCAAAAAGACTGCTTTTTCTAAATTTTCTCAATTTATCTATAGTAATGACTTCTGTTTCTTATAGTTACATATCTTAAATGCTTGGATATTGACAACCAATACTATATAGATTTGGGGAAGCACTAAGTCAGTGGTTCTCAAAGTTTACTCCCTAGACCATCAGAATCACTTGGGAACTTGTTAGAAATGCATTTTCTCAGAATCCATCAGAGACCTACTGAATCAGAAACTCTGAGGGTGGAGTCCAGTAATCTCTGGTTTAACAAGGCTTCTCGGTGATTCTGAAGCAAGATTCTGAAACCAATGGTTCTCAATGGTTTGAGAACCATTCATTGCATGAATTAAGTAATATGAAAATGAGAATTGGAAAGTTTGTGGTCTAAAGTCCAGTCTTTTCACACTTAATATTCTTGAGATAATTGTTCCCTTTGAATGCTTCATCATATTTATGCAAAATATTCCTATATTGATAAATTGATTTCTCTTTAATTTATAGAATGAGGGGGAGATTATCTGTGAGGACTGTATGAAAGCATCATATCAAGTATCAATAATGTAAAGACCCCCTTAATGTTTTTATTAATATTTAATGCTTTTATCCAAGTCTAGATACCTTTCCAGTGATCAGCTTTTAACTCATTATTTCTCCGAAAGCAAAAGATATTTGGATCTTTTGCAGAGAAAAGAATAAATGAGAACTTAGCATGAATGTTTTGGTATCATTAGTGCAGTTGGCAAGAAGAGAACCTGTGAGATTTCTTTGACTCTGGGAGGCAGAGAAAGCCCATTTGAACAAATTATATTTGACAGGAATATTGTTGGGGAACCTATAAGCAATAACAACTTGATACAGAAGAGCACATTTCCCATATGTTCTACAGAGCTTAAATGTCATCATTTGTTTTTAGAAAAATTATTAAGCCTTAAAAATACCAATTTCTAGACTGTTTTATGAAATTATACTCAGGAAGTTTATGCTTAATGTTCTTGCAAAAGCCAAGTTTCAAAATGGAAAACTAGAAAGTAATGTGCATTTATTTTTTTAAGATCTTCATGAATACACTAAAATATCTACAAACTCATGAATATCTCCTGGATGTGGATTTATGGAGACTTTTTGCAAACCTGGAGGAGTTAAGTCAGGTGAGCCAAAGTAGAAAGATGCCAGTAGATATGTTTTAAAATTCACCAGAGGATTGTAAAAATGCTTGCTTGTTCCATTCCTTTGGCTTGTATTTTGTACTGGAATACGGAATATGGTTTATTTCCCTTATAATTTTATGGGCAGGAGGTCAGGTTAATAAGAAAGAAATCTAAACATTCATTGACATCTTTCCAACAGATTGCAGATATCAGCTTTCAGTAACATTTTTTATATTTCCTTGGTTGTTTAAGAAAGTAAACATATTCCTGAGATCTCCATCATCTTCATAAATGTTTATTCTCAAATGAATGTCCTTTTCTCACATGTATTATAAATAATATCTTTCCTCTAAAAAGGAAGAGAAAAGAGATTCCAAAATAAATTTATTTAAAAAAATTTATAAGAAAATACATATTGAAAAAGAAAATAAATCTGAATTTTGTCAGAAGATAAATTTGAAATGAAAAACATCTGTAAGAATGATATTTAAAGTTCATCCAATATTTATTCCTTACCCCTGGCTGTGTGCCCACTCTTGTGTTCTTTCCTTCTGACCCTAGACAAGCTTTGGTTTTGTGACCAGTCTTTTTGCCATCATCAAGGAGTATGTCGATGCTTCTGAGACTTCACCGTCCATGGACTTCATTTCCGTACTCACGAAGGTAAAATCCTCCTGAGATCTCAGCTTTGTGTAATAAATTCACCTGCTCCCAGGATAGTTGTTAATATCTATTTGTTTTTTGTTGTTGTTGTTATTCCTGAGGAAGTTCCACCAGCAGCCTCCCACAAAGGAAACATCTTTTTCTCCACCAATCAATGTTTTCAAAAATAACTTGCAGATTCTATTTTTCCGTTGTCACCTCTCCTGTGTGGGTTTTATTAACGCAGAAACCTGCACGCATGGAACAGCCATTTCCGAGTCTGTTTTTTAAATGATTTCAATTTAAAGCAATATTCATGGCAATAGTTTATGTAGGCTAATTACATGGTTCAGTTCGTCTAAGAAAAATGCCAGTCTCACAGAAATAAATAAATAAATAAATAAATAAATAAGCGAACTTTCAAACCTGTAGCCCTGGTTTGATAAATGCTATTTATTTCTTGAGTAGATATTTGGGCCTCCTCCCTACATTTTTTTTGCTTTGAGCTTTTAGATTCAGTCTCTCTGTATTCTCATTTAGCAAGATTTATATCCTTACAATCCATTGAAAAACATAGATTTAGCGCTTACCGGGTGCTTAAATGTGGGACAGGTACCCTGTGCCCAATAATGTGCAAAACCAGACACACTCCTGGTCATGGGGAGTTTTCAGTCTAGTTGAGGAGAAATTAATTCAATAACAACAGTCATAATTACATAATCAAATTGAGATCAGTGCTAAGGAAAAGGGGAACAGATATGACTAAAGAAATCTAGGTTTGGGAAGACGGTCAGATAGTTACAAACTGGAAATTCTTCTTGGGGCAAAGATGCTTGAGGTAAGATATGAAGAAGGAGGAGTATTTAATGAGACAAAAATAAGCAGGAAACTAGGTAAAACGTAGGGAGATCCTTTAGTGAACTTTGAAAATGGATTTGAATAAGAAAAACTTTGAAAAACAAGAGAAGGAATATAAAGTATTGGAAAGTAGCAAATTGTGGGCTCTCTCAATTTATTTAAAGTCAGAAAATTCTTAAATTTAGTTTTAAGTAAATAGTCTGGAAAAATACCAATTTCACATCAAAACATAAGTTGTTTTAGTCTACTCACACTGCTATAACAAAACATTACAGACTGGGTGACTTATAAACAACAGAAATGTATTTTTCACATTTGAAGAGTGGAAGTCTGAGATCAGGGTTAGAATGGTTGGATGAGGGCCCTCTTCCAGTCACAGACTTCTCATTGTATCCTTCACATGGCAGAAGGGGCTAGAGAGGTCTCTGGAGCCTCTTTATAAGGACATTAATCTCATTCATGAGGGCTCCACCTTCATGAGCTAATCATCTACTGAAGGCCCCACCTCCTAATAGCATCATGTTGGGAGTTAGGATTCAACATATGAATTTTGGGGAAACACAAACATTTACAGCATAGAGTAAGTGAACTTATAGCCTGCTTACGCAAGGGATATTAATAGACTCTTTACTAAAGGTCCGTAATATAACCCATATGCTAATGCTTCATATTATGTTACAGGTGTGCAAAGATGAGCTATAAAAGTTTTTCCTGAATTTAAAAGGTCCTTTATCACTCGGGTTAGATTCATTTGTACCAGAGTAACAGTCTCCAAATCTCAAACACTTGGTTCATATCTCACTTACGCTCTTCTTCTATTTTGTCACTGTCCTCACTCTGGGACCCGTGCTGAGGACACATGTTGGGGGAGCAGCCACCACCTGGAATGTTACCAGTGGCAAAGACATAAGAGACTGAGGCAGAGATCTCACTGACTCTTCAAGTTTCTGCCTAAAGCAGCACATGGCATGTCTGCTCATATTTCATCATCCATGGAAGTCACATGGCCAAGCCTACCTTCAACAGAGTGGGTACATATAATCCTCCTCAGGAAGGGAAAATATATGAACAGTACTACAGCCTCACAAGAAGCTCACCAGCTGGAAGCTTGGAACATTTTGTTATTCACATTTTGCTATGAGCCTTGTGAGCAAATCATTGAGAAGGAAACTGAGGCTTGGAGAGGTTAGATAATTTGGCCAAGGTCATGTAGCTAATGGATTGTGGAACTGGATTTCTAAGACTGACCGTATACAGTCTTAACAGTTGCCTCCTGCTAATGTCATTTCTCAAGCATCTCAGTGCCCTGTGAGAAGACCTTCTCTTTATCTCCAAGCTATCAACAACCACCCCTCTGCCCTCTCAAAAATAAATTTACATCATGTGTTTCAAATTACTTCTTGTTGGAGCCAAAACTTGACATTTTCCCCCATAGCATTTTCTCCTCTGTCTTATAACAAAATATTTTTCTAGGTTTTCGTTATCTCTGCCTTTATTACTGTCACTTCCTTTAGTGGCTTTTTAGGCTTAGTCTGCTTTCTCTACTCACTGTAGTTATAATGTTACTAAAAAATGTGTCTTTCTTCTTTCATTTCACCACATGATGACACTATTGAAAATTCCTCAATGGGACCCATTATTCATTATATAATTAATAAATATATCTAGGAGCCAGCCCATAGGCTTAGCAACATAGTAGGCACCATGGAATCCTGAAAAGAATGTCTGTCAGTAAGGAGACAGAAGCATTGGTGAAGAGTAAAGAATAACTCATTGCCAAGAAAGACATTTAATCGAGATAGTGGTACATTGTGTGTTGTGCTCTGTTTGACCATTATATATATGAATATATAGATATAAATTGGCCATTTGCCTTATTCTAAAATAAATTTGAGATGGCTTATAAATGTATAGCCGTTACAGCAAGTGTAAGTCATTAAATAGAAATTATAAAGAAAAGAGAAGAGAAGTATTAGATTAGTAAGACTGTCATACAAAATGCATGCTACTAAACACAGTACGTTTAGTAGAGGTGCCAAATTTGACTCAAGTTTTAGAAGCCACCAGGAGAATTAAGGGCATTTTTAAGGAAGTTTTGATGAAAAATTAAGTGTTGTTATTTTAATCACTTATTACCAACACAAACTCAACATCAATCAACATAAGCATGGAAATTAAATGCAATATTCATTATCAGTTACCATGAGGGGAGTGTAGACCTCAACAAAGTATAAACAGAGGTAAAGGGTGAATTACATCAAGATGTCCTTAATAGAATTTACGTATGGATAAAGAAAATGATTTATGGAGAAGTTAACTGTTTATTGTGGGAATGCCATCTTTTTAAAGAATATTTATTGTGATGATAACCTGTTTCTATCCATACAGTCATAACTCCTACTTATCAATGGTGACTCCTCCACTTTTCCCTGTTCTAGTAAGTAATAAAAGTGAGGAGAAAGAGAAAGTCTGTCTGTGCTATCCTCGCTTTTTGATTCTCCTTCTGTTCTTTTCCTCTTGCAGTATTTCCGAGGGAGCCTCTGTCAGAGCCACCAGATCTACTGCCTGAATTATTCAGCTGCTGTCTTTTATCTTGAGAGCCTGAGGCAGAGAAATGACTTTGGAATTTATTTAAAAGTAAAGTACCATTTTCTTTTCTTTTATATTTTTCCTGAGACTCTTTTGGCATAATAGGTACTAGGAATTAGTATACCCAATTAAATGGGAAAGAAGAAAAAGAAATTATTAATAATACATTTAACTACAAATCTGCTTTCCTCATAAATACATCTTCCACTGCACACTTAAGAATTTTAAATGGCTCTTATCTGGAAACATATCATCTAATGCCCCTCCTAAAATTTCGGTTGAGGCTAAAAATACTTTATTTGTTCATTGGTTAGTTTGTGGAAGAAATTGGTCCGTTGCAAGGAGAAAACTAAACTAAGAACTAAGTTTGCTTGTGGCAAGAAGTTTGCTTTTGGAGGATTTTGTCCCAGCAAGATCCTATTGCACAAAAACTTGGCACACAGTTCACCTTGTATTGTATGTGAACGGCACCCTGTGGAACACAACACAAAGCATGACGTAAATGTTACCCCTGAAGTCGTACGCTGTGGGTCCCAAAGCATCAGTCACAAAGCATGACGTACGCTGTGGGTCCCTGAAGTCGTACGCTGTGGGTCCCAAAGCATCAGGACAAGGAATTTCTGCTAAGGACCTTCAGCATTTGTTAATAAGCCAACATGGAAAGAATTTTCCTTGACTTCTCTACTTGCTTTGACCCCTCTTTTGACACTTCTTTAGACTTAACTGTATTATACCAGAGCCCTTTTGTATGACCCAGAAAAAATAGTCCAAGTCTTTCCAGAAAACTAGCTCTTCTCTGCAGCTGCAAAAAGCCCCTGGGAAAGAATCACCTCAGAGGTGTGAAAAGAAAAGCTACCATATTTCCAATAACTTAGCTGTGAATCAGTGCACTTATGGCCCAGATGTGCCAGGAAGCCTGGGTGTGGCATGGATAAGAAAAGAGGAATGAAACTGGGCAAGAAACTTGGCCTTATTTTTGTAACTTCAAACTTTCAGTGTTTTATTTGCTACACAAACTAAAACCTGAAAGCAGTTAGATTTCTAAATGTATGAATAATTGTTATAAAAGTTTTCCCTGGAAGCTGATGGATTAAGACTTCCAGCAAAGCCCCCAAATAGAGGACAATCTGGGTCAATTTCTTTCTCTTCTAAGGTGGAGCAGAGATTTTAACAAGGCTCAGCCATCATTTTCAGATACCTGTGGAAAATCCCTTATCAATCGTGACGTAGAAGGGTGCTTTATATTTATATGTGAAGTATATATAGCATACAAAGATACTTAGGGAAAAGGATGCAATGTTGTAATGAAAACATAGTATATTTTTATAATGCATAATGCTTTACCAGGCACTTTTTCAAACATCTCTTTTAATCCTTAGCACAAAACTATGAAGTTGATCACATTGTCTACATGTGCCCCTGAGGCTCAGAGAGGTTATATGACTTTTTCAAGGTCACTTGGCCAGTAAGTAGCAAAAAATAACCTGGATCAAGGCAGGCAAAAAAAGAAAAAGAAAAAGAATTAAAAAACAACAACAACAACAATGCTCTTTACATCAGAACTATTTCCAGCTCCACAGGGCTATTTCCCATTGCCTAGGAACTGTTAACATCATGAAACAAAGGTAAGGAATCAACAAGAGACTTTGGAGGAATTAAGGAGAATCTGCTTTCCACTGCACCATACTACAGAACAAAAGCATCATTACAGATAATTAATAAAATGATAATATAAAATAATTATAACATATAATAAATATAATAATAA